TTTTAATTCCATCCACTCTCCTCAGGCTCCTCCTCCACTCTTCTCTGTGTTTGTCTGGAGTTATTGTTTCAATCTTGCTGCATCAGGGGGCCCCTGAAGGTTATAAATTAAACATAAATGCAAATGCGCTGAGCCATTGCCCTCCTCCACCTCCCTCCTTCCCAAACATACGCATACCCCCCCAACACACACACACACACACATCCTCTGCTTTCAAACAGATCAGTGTGTCTGTATATTAATAGGAGAACAGTGGGCTTTTTTAATGAGTGAGAAAGGAGAAATTAGAGCTGCAAAGCCACAGCGCGGCACACCCAGCGCTGCAACCGAGGCAACGGCTTGAAAAGCTGGGCGCCATCATAGAATATGCTAATACCCCAGGTCCCGTTACTGTCAGCGCTAGCGTAGCTTTAGCAAATCAGGCCAAGGCTTTGATCTAGGGAACTGATGAGAACCAGATATTTCATGTTTACATTATTAAGAGTGCAGCTATGATGTGAATTTGACTTAAATGTCTACATTCAGCTTGAAACCAACTCAATTAGTCTTTTAGTGATGCACAATTTTTCTTTTCCATCACTTGTCTGATTTCTGCTTCATACTCTCATGTAGATAGACTGCTGTGACACCCATGGTGTACCCTGTAGTTAAACAACCATCTGGTCGGTTTATGGTATAGGATTAACACCATAGAGTCAGTAGTTGGACCATAAGAGGGTCATTTCCTTTATTCTCTGCCATATGGCCTCATAAAGGAGTAGTGAACGGTTTTCTGGATTGTCATTGTCAGTTTTATTTGTCTCATGAGTCAGTTCTTCTTAAAAAAAGGAGGAATAAAGTTTTTATGTTCTGCAATGATATGCATTTGATATTTATATTTTTTGCAGTGAGAATAAAATTAAAGCATGCTTTCCTGTCTGTTGAAATAATAAGGCTGAGCTTAAAAACATCAGTTCACCCTGACATAATAAGATTTTTTTTTATCAAACAGTTATGAATTCTGCACGATGCTCCATTTAATCCAATTTAATCTTATGATTTTAAAGAAACTCTAATAAATTTCAACAAAAGAACATTGCTCTTTGCTTTTTTATATAAAGAACCAAAGTTACATTAAACATTAGCTTAATTCATCATTTCATGACATGTCTGTTATGTCATCATTTTTTTACGATTCAACTGATTTATTTGATTAAAATATGATAAAAATCCATTTCAATTCTTATCATTTTATCTTCCCTATATCTTGATATAAATGGCTTTGAGAGGTGATTTCTATCTTGCATTACTTTTTTATCTTAACATTTTTTGTTTGGCCTGATTGGTTTTAATTGGTGGTTTTTATTTATATTATGTTAAAAGGGAGTTTTTCCACTCCACTGTTGCTACAAGCATGCTTAGTGTGAGAGATTGCCTCCAAGTTAATCAATCAATGCAATCGACTGGTATTCCTTAGATAGAAAACTTTAAATTAATTTGAACTTTATTATGTGGTTAAATTGTAAAGTGCTGTGGGATGACATGTGTTGTGAATTGGTGCTATATAAATAAACTGAATTAAATTTAATTGAGTTTACTATATGAACATAAATATATTTCTGTTGTATTTTTAAGATATGATTTCTACTCATTCATCATTTTTTAACAACAGTGAAACTAAATGTTGATCTATTCAATGTTTATTGCACAACAAAAATATTATTAATAATAATAACATTGATGATAATAATAATAATAAGAAAAAGGTATGGTACCTTTCAATTGATAAGTTACAGTGTCTGATTCAAAATACGGCCTGGCAAAAAATAAAAGGAATTAAATTCAGGGCAAAAAAAGCAAATAAAAAGAAAAATTAAAATAAAAGGCAATGTTTTAATATATGAAATTACCACAGCTAATAACTAAGTGTGAGTGTATAGATAAATCTAACTTATGAAAATTAGTAAAAGAATATCCACACATGTAGCTTATTTTACAAGCACAGCTCCCATTGTTTTCCATGAAATCTGTACATTTGCTTAGAACACCAGCAAAGTTAGAAAAGTAGGATCAAGGAATTATACAACAGGAGAGATGGGAAACCCAACACTCAGATCTGCCCTTTATGTTCAGTTTTTGAACCCTTTTGGTTGTAACTACATAGTTTCTCCAGCAGGGGTCTTCCCATTGTCATGGACGTGGTCTCTTGTAAATCATCCTGGACAACACTGAACTCACAAAAGGGAAGTAAATTGTGACATGAAGCTAAAATGATTTCATAATGTCCACCTCAACCCATAATAATCATACATGTCAATAGTGGCTATCCGTTTTACCTCTACTACCCACAGAACGATCTCCACTCATTTCTTACAGCCACAGTCACTAATCATAATTATCATGGCTCTCTTCTAACCCCTTAAAAAAGCCCCCCATCCCACCCCCACCACCTCAATCCCTTCTTTCATCTGCAGCTCCCTCTGTTGATCAAATGCATCTGATCTCATTAAAGCAGACCCTCTGCTCATTCAAGTCCCGACAGACACTCTGGCTTCTTTACTAAGCACTATTTTACATTCATGTTTGAAATACCATTGATGGGATAGAATATCATGTAGACTTTGGTTTTGTGTGGTCTAACACAGCAGCCTGCGGTTATTTTTTCCTCTATTAGATGTTCAGAGAAGCCACTCTTTGAAAAAAGTCAAAATCTTATCAGAGGAAATGCAGTCATCTATTTATATAAGACTCAACATAGGGAATAAAATATTCTAATTGCAATTCTGTGTTTACATTTGGTTGTATAGTGACAAGGTGATTTCCAATTTTGGGGGGGATTAGCAATGGATAACCAAGACAGAATTTCAGATTTGCATTAACCTGTCAGAGGGGAAGAATAAAAATGCAAGAAAAATGATGAATGCATCTCGTGGATTTCCAAAAAAAGTTAAAAAATTTATGTTTTGAGGCACAGAGCAGGAATTGGGCACAAGTCTACTGTTTTTAAAGGTAAAGTCCAGGCAGCAAGGAATATTCAATGGATCATTATCTACACCTGAAACAAATACGTTTGTGGCGATTTAATGAATTTAGCGTTAATCAGTGAAAAAATTAAAACAGTGATTTTTCATCGCAATGACTGAGTCTTGGAGCGGCCATTTTTGTCCAAATATAGTAACACCTCACTCCTGACATCTTCCGGCAGTGACGTCACGGTGCGGTAAGCCTAGTGCCTTTCTCCCCGCTTTATAAGCAAAATCAATGGGAGTTACTAGACACATCTGCAATCAAAAGAAATGTTTAAGATTTAGAGAGGACTTCACCATTGAAATTCACCAGAGCTATAGTTAAACTGACATGGTTGCATGGTTGTTGGATGTTGGAATACATCGGGTAAAAGTGAAAAAAAAAATAGTTATTTCACCTTTGCGATTCATGATCTACAACGGATTGCCAACTTGAAGAGGGAGGATTTCTCTAACATGGATGCCTCCAGTAAAGCACATTCAAATAAAAAAACTATTAATTAAAACACCTGTCATTTATTGAACAGTGTGTAATAATTGTATATTTAAAGTACTTTCAGAAGTTTGAATTCTAAATATGAATGGACTTTTCCTTTAAATCCTGATCTCTTCAGTTAAGTTTGCTTTATCTTTCAAGAGTGTAGTTTTCCCAGTTATTGTGCATTTTCCATCACATGTTTTCCCTCCACCAAACTTCCCATTATTATGCACTACAAACAGCCAGCTTCATTAGAACTAACTTTCCTAACTTAGTGGATGACATTGACCATATGACTAGACACCTGTACAATCCTCCCACTCCATCCACTCAACCCATGCAGCTTTATTTTCTCCAGAACTGCCCACTTTTTTTTAAGTGACCTCATCAATATCAAACGGAACTGCATTTTTATTAATTTGTTGTATAAGAAAATCACACTTTGCATGGTTATATGGAAGCAACTGCAGCATGTTTCAGATTTAAATTATATACATAGCTATTTTTACGTGCTGGGCAGCTGTTGACCATTATATATCTGACTTTTGTCAGCTCTGCGGGGAAAATGCCTTCAACACATCAAACGTGAAATCCAATAAAGAAGCCCACCAGTATTATATTGATTTCAATATATTTGTGAGTGGGTGACTGATATTTACAAGAAGTGCTCCGCAGATAGACAAAAAAAAAGCCCTCTGACTTGATTAAACTTATGCAAACTTGACTTAGAATAGTAGTTCTTCTAAATGCACAACCAGAGGCTGTTTCCCCTCTCTGGCCCTTCATTGGCATCATTGTAAAATAACCTGCCAGGTCCTGTTTATCTATAATCTAAAATAATAGACTGAAATGATTTTCTGGACTTCAAATTGCATTGCGTTTTGCTTGTTTTGGTCACATGACAACCCTACAATTCACATGACAACAAGAATGTGATTGAAACATGTTCTGGATGCAAACTGATTTACAGATGCTATACAGTGTGATTACATTCTTATTCCGATGGCAGCTTGATTGCACACTGCTTGGCTGCATGTCCCCTGATCGGGGCTGCAGAGAAACTGGCTTGAACTGAGGGACAGAGAGGAGAGGGAAAAGCAGATCTGGATAATGGAGTGGTGACGCGCAAAAAAAAAATAATTTCTGTGTTTATTAATGTTTATTTGTGAGGGGTGTGGTTAAAGCAGAGTCGGGTTGTGATTTGGTAACACGACAGTCTTTAAAGTTTTGAAGAAAAAAAAAAATACAGTGCGCCCAAGGGAAGGTGAATGCGTCTCGACCCCATGAGCTCCTAATAAAATGGTTAAAACCTTAAAATTATACTAATAAACTCTCATTATTTCAAATCCCTCTATTTTGTATCTTTAATATTAGCATTATTATAATTTAACTGTTGAAAGAGGTGTGAATATGAAGAATCAGCGTATATGTTGTGCGTAATGGCTCCCTATTCCAGTCCAGGTTTTCCGTAAGAGGAGCGCCGGAGCCCTGGAGGTGGATAAGCTGGTAGAGCCCGCTCTCTTTCATGCCATGCTTGGCCACAAGGCTCCTGGAGACGCTGCTACACATTACAGAGAACCGGGGATGGAGGAGAGGCGGAGAGGGGTGGAAGAAAAAAGTTTCATTTAAAGCTGGGAGAGAAACTTTCAACATGAAGCCGCAACGTTTCACCTTAGAAAAACCTGCGCTATAGGAAAAAAAAGATAGAATTCTCGTGGTTTTGTTTTTTCATCCCTCAGCTTGTGTTTTCCCCTTCCCCCCGTTGTCATTTTCTGCGCGCAAGACTGGTCGGGGCTTGCTGTCACTGTGCGCTGAGATGTTGGAGTGACCATGGCTGCGCAAGTGGCATCGGCTCTGACCAGAACTAATAATAAAAATAAGAAATTATCAGGCGCTTTGGCTCCGGAGCTGAATTCTGGAAAAGCCGGGGGAGGAGGAGGGAACGCGCAGCGGAGCGGACAGATGCTGGCAGCCGGCGATGGAACTCTGAATAATGTAGATCATCACCGCAGAGGCGAGCTCGGCACCATGGTCCATTCAACTTCCTCTCCGGACGGCCACGACAAGGCCGGGATTAACCTCTCGGCGTCCAATTCAAACACTTCTCCAATGGAAACGACTCTGACTGCGAACCACAAACTGAAATGTGCGGGGAGCGCGGATGCGCCTCAGTCTCAGCCGCCGCAGTTCGGCCAGTTTGCGCCACACCAACAGCGACAAAGTAACACTAACAACGGACAGGCCCCCCGCGGGGACAGAAGTGTGGAGCACCAGCAGCACGGTGGGAAGGAGAACCTGTTGGTGGGGCAGGAGGACTCCCAGCAACATCACGGCCCGGGGAAAGGTGAGGGGGACCTCACCTGTAAACCCATGGAGAGGATGGTGGCCTCCAGGTTTGAATCCAACTTGGGGCCCCCTACCAACAACTCTGAGTTTAATAACAGCTATTATCCTTCAAGGCCGTGTTATGACCAACAACAAAGCAGTGGGACGGGGGTTACGCACTCCGTGGAAAACTCCCACGAAGGGGGTTACCACAACAGCCAGTACGGCCAGTATCCTGCGTACCGGGCGGGTTATGGCGGCGGGGCCTACGGGATGATGGGCCCCTCCGGATGCAGGCAGCCAGGCAACATCATGATGGGCAGCAACTCCTCTGCGAGCCACGGCAAGTCCCCTGCCTCAGGTGGGTTTCAGAAGTACCCAGGGCAAGCCCAGCATCAGCAGCAGGGGCCCTCAGGGGCCACGCCGACTCTCAATCAGCTGCTTACGTCCCCAAGCCCAATGATGCGGGGTTACGGAGGTGCTTATCAAGATTTCGGGGCACCGACCCCTCAACAGCAGGCAGGCATGGCGTTGGGGAAGGACGTGACCCCCCACTATGGAACCAGCACTGCGCACTGGGGAGCGCAGCAGCGGAACCACCCGCTCTCCATGAACGCAGGGAGCGGAGGGCATGGCCTCAGCAGAACACAGGTGAGTTCCACAAGTTCAGGTTCCTGCTTGAGCTAAAATCAAAACAACAGAATCAGTTTACTTGAGTTCAGATTAATCTGCATCCTGCAGAACCGCTGGAGTTCGGACTTTTTCATTTTTTTTTTCTTTTTTTTTTTTCTCTACAGCCTAATTAGTCAGTTAGAAAAAGGAAAATATCCTTCGTTTGAATCTTTAATCGGTTTCCGCATAAGCTGTTCTTATGTTATTGCAGTGTTATTGCACAGGCGTAAACTCAGGGAACGTGCTGTCAGACACGTTGCCAAACGCCCCTGCCGAGGACGCGCAGCGCTGAGTGCGTTCATGGAAGAACGCGCAGGATTCTGGAGAAACCCTCCTCAAAACCTTCAAATATATGGTTAAGGGACTTTTTCTTGTTTCGAGAAGTCAAATCAAAACTGGAGGACCTTCTTCCATCTCTCCGTGCGCTCTTCCGCCTTGTGGAGAAGGCGCGCATCCACACTGCGCTTCCTCCCATAGAGTTCTGCTCACAGTTTGGATAGTGTGGATAAATGGCTCTTAGAGCCACAGGCTGCCATTTGATTGGCTTCCTCTGGTCCCTATAGGCAGAATTTATTCAAAAACACAAACAGAAACAGGACCTGTGCGCCTTAATGATGTTGCATTCACGTTTTTCTTTTTCCCCCCCTATATTTTAAAACTGTTTATATTGTATTAGTGATAAATCAGTCACTAAAAATCCCCCCATTCTTGTCTGTAATGAAAATGCCACATTCACTGCCATTGACCTATCATCTGCTTAAGGTCATATGCACCTTCTGCAGTGAGTCTCCATCCATCAGGCTGAATATCTTAGAGAAAATGGGAAATCCTCCCTTCATTTTCCCAAACAACCATATTGATTCACATCCCTGCTCATTCATACACAGATATTTGCAAAGTTTACATCCAGGATGGCCTGATGAGAACAATTAATACTGGTGCACCAAAAAAAATAGGTTTGATTTTTTCGGTGTTGCCACATATATGCTTTAAAACTAAATTAAATAAAAGTCTTAAATAGATTAATGTATTATTTATATGTTTCTGGTATCCATACACCGCTATTTAGATGACATTACATCTTACATTAGCCTTTTTTAATTAAGCATATATAATTTCATAATATTGTTAATTTTCTTTCTAAATATGTGTTCTTACCATAAAATATGATCAGAACCAGTAGTTAACGATTGAATACATAAAAAAATACAGGAGGCATTTCTCAAGCTTCTTCTCCTCAAATGTGTGCATTAAAAGTGTTTTAAAAATCAGAGGCGAAACAGGGCAACGTCCTTCCTAAGAAGAGCCCCACTCTGCAGTTGTTTTTCTTGCAACAAATTATGCGCGCTGCTGGATAGCACATCTGGGCAGCTGGAGGGCAAGGAGTCTGAGCGCAGCTTATTCTGTCTCCCTCCCGTGGAAACAAAAGTAGTTCATTAGCCTACATCGTTTCAATCAAAGGCAATTTGTGTTGGGTGCTGGGAAATTGAGGTGAATGCTTTAAGGGTTGGAGGGTTTGCTGTTATATTGATTGTATCAAATTATACCTAGAAACGGAGCACATTTGAACTCTTTTGCATTATGACTATCAGAAGCTGATTCTGATGTTAAGATGCCTGTTTTAAAGTGCAGGTAATTAAAAGAAAACTACACTACTGTTAGTGCTTCTTTTTTGTCCTCTTAAGGATAGGCGGTTGGTGTTTTTTCCAAACTCCAGTAACATTGCAGGAGCAGTATATCTCTGCTCCTAACACCTCTATGTTTAATTCATGTTGAGAGCTGGAGCACTGTTCTGCTGTACGCTGCTGACAGGGTATGTGTAAAAAAAAAAAAAAAAAAAAAAAAAAAAAGAAGCCGAGATGTGTAGTGCATAATACTGCTTCCAAATTGGCTCACTGATATGACTGCGCTTCACTTCAGAGCAAATTTGGTTGAAGCGAAAAAAGCTCTGTCACCTGTTGACACAGACCCCCACCACCACTCTTGGAATTGTTTTTTAAATTCAATTTCCCTCCCCACTAACTCTCCTCAGGAGCTTGCTGTGAGCAAAACGAGCATCCCTCATTTACACCGCCTCCCTCGCTTCCAATGCACTCACTTCTGTGGCCACTCATCAGAATGAAAACAGAACTGCTACACTTGTCTGTTCAACAGCAGCCCACCTCAGGGACGGATGGCTTATTTGACAGCATGCAATTTGGAAAATAAGTATTAAACATGTTTTCTCAGAAAAACAGTTTCTGATCACACTATTGGCACAAAAACACACAAAATACTGAATAATCGCCTAAGTAGCTCAATCATCTAAATAATTAATTAAAGAATCATTCAAATGATTCTGTCAAAGAGGAATGACAGCATTAATAGGCAATACTTATATTTATTAAAATGTAAATTAGATCAGCCAGTCAAAAGAGAGACTTTTTTAAAGTACAAACGTCAGATTCTTTTAAACTTAAGTATCAGTGTGGTGTTTTTGGCATGTTGTGCAGCATCATTCCTCCTCCAAACATGGTTTATGAAGCGTCATCCTTAATTCTGGTTTCCTCTAACCAGACTAGATTCTTGAAGCTAGTAGCTCGTCTAAATGTCCAGCAGCAATCTGAATAAGCGTCAACATGTTCAGCAGTGGAGTCTGGTGTGGTGAGCTTCCTTACATCTCAGTAGGGTTGAGTTTAGTACCTATCGTTTATTCAGATTCTATACCTTTTAGAAGCTCATTACGTATGCTTAATGGGAGCAGAGCATTCTTCAGATCTTTCTTTTAATGTATTTTTCTCAGAAATCATGCAAGGGGCACTTAGTCGTTATGAAAGGATGTTCTTTCTACTGCTGAATTAAGACCCAAATGCGTCTTCCACCAATGACATCAGTATATTTCGTTACAATAAAGTTGCTAAGGTCTTGACAGAGGTCTTAGGTTTTATCCATCATGACATGTAATCATTTGGTAATAGGAAACCTATTTAAAGGACGTCATTAGCTGATATTAATAGGCACGGATGGGGATTTCTTTCTAAATACGCCTTTTTTTAACCTCCTTCTTCTCATATAAGTAATAATTTGTACATGCATATTTTAAAACAGCCTTGTAGTTAAGCTTTAAATCTGGTTGCTTTAAGTCTCTCTGTCTGTTTTGTTTCTCTTACTTGCAGCATTCACCTCTACAGCAGTGATCCACTCTAACACCATATGTGCAATCTTAATGACTTCTTTCACTCTGCATCATAAACAAAACATTTCTTGTAATAAGGATCCGTCTGCTATAAGCTAATCAGAGCTAGACTCAAAACAGTAAAAGTAATTAGCAGATAATAATGAGAACCTAATGAGAGAGAAATAGTGTTGTTGCTTAGATAATTACAACAGCAACTCTTTTAAAATCTGACCCAATAAAATGAAAATGAATGAGCATTTATGATTCCTTCTAATTTATCACAATTTTGCTCTGTGTTTTGTGAATAGAATTGAAATTAAAGCTCAGTGGAGCTTCATATCAAAGACTAGTCCCAATCCCATTCCTGGTAATGTGCTTACCTTGAAATGATCCCTGCTCGCAGTGCTCTGCAGCGCATACTGTTTACATTTCTCTCTTATGAATTATTAGTGTGATATGAACAAAGACTTTATAATGGGAGCAATGCATCAATGTCACTTTGTATTATGCAGCTATCTCAGGGAGCCTCGTGCATACAGGTGCTGGTCATAAAATTAGAATATCATGAAAAAGTAGATTGATTTCAGTAATTCCATTTAAAAAGTGAAACTTGTATATTATATTCATACATTACATACAAACTCATATATTTCAGATGTTTATTTTGTTTAATTTTGATGATTACAAATGACAACAAATGAAAATCTCAAATTCATCATATCAGAAAATTAGAATATTACTGAAGACCAATAAAAACAAAGGATTTATAGAAATGTTGGCCAACTGAAAAGTATGAACATGAAAAGTATGAGCATGTACAGCACTCAGTATTTAGTTGGGCCTCCTTTGGCCTGTATTACTGCAGCAATGCGGCGTGGCATGGAGTCGATCAGTCTGTGGCACTGCTCAGGTGTTATGATAGCCCAGGTTGCTCTAATAGTGGCTTTTAGCTCTTCTGAATTGTTGGGTCTGGTGTATTGCATCTTCTTCTTCACAATACCCCATAGATTTTCTATGGGGTTAAGGTCAGGAGAGTTTGCTGGCCAATTAAGAACAGGGATACCATGGTCCTTCAACCAGGTACTGGTAGCTTTGGCACTGTGTGCAGGTGCCAAGTCCTGTTGGAAAATGAAATCTGCATCTCCAAAAAGTTGGTCAGCTGCAGGAAGCATGAAGTGCTCTAAAACTTCCTGGTATGTGGCTGCGTTGACCCTGGACCTCAGAAAACACAATGGACCAACACCAGCAGATGACATGGCACCCAAAAACCATCACTGACTGTGGAAACTTTACACTGGACTTCAAGCAACGTGGATGAAGTGCCTCTCTTCTTTTCCTCCAGACTCTGGGACCTTGATTTCCAAAGGAAATGCAAAATTTACTTTCATCAGAGAACATGACTTTGGACCACTCACCAGCAGTCCAGTCCTGTTTCTCTTTAGCCCAGGCAAGACGCTTCTGACGCTGTCTGTGGTTCAAGAGTGGCTTGACACAAGGAATGCGACAGCAGAAACCCATGTCTTTCATACGTCTGTGTGTGGTGGTTCTTGAAGCACTCACTCCAGCTGCAGTCCACTCTTTGTGAATCTCCCCCACATTTTTGAATGGGTTTTGTTTCACAATCCTCTCCAGGGTGCGGTTATCTCTCTTGCTTGTACACTTTTTTCGACCACATCTTTTCCTTCCCTTCGCCTCTCTATTAATGTGCTTGGACACTGAGCTCTGTGAACAGCCAGCCTCTTTAGCGATGACCTTTTGTGTCTTGCCCTCCTTGTGCAAGGTGTCGATGGTCGTCTTTTGGACAACTGTCAAGTCAGCAGTC